ATCGCGATCTGTTAGGAGCTCGACCTAAAATCTGTTAGGAGCACGACCTGAAATCTGTTAAAGCTCAACTTGAAATCTATTAGGAGCAAGCAAAACGAGCTCAATTTGAGCAAAACGAGCTCAACTTGAGAGCAAAACGAGCTCAACTTGAGGAAAACGACCTCGACCCGAGAGGTCAAAACGAGCTCAATTTAGGCAAAACGAGCTTAACTTGAGAGCAAAACGAGCTCAACTTGAGAAAAACAACCTCGACCTAAGAGGTCAAAACGAGCTCAATGAGTAAAACGACCTTGACCTGAGAGGTCAAAACGACCTCGACCTGAGAGGTCAAAACGAGCTCAAAGAGCAAAACGAGCTCAATGAGCAAAACGACCTCAATTTGAGAGATCAAAACGACCTCGACCTGAGCAATGAAAACGACCTCAACCTAAGAGCACAAGAGATCAACGATTTCAGCGTGTGATTAGCGATCTGAACATGCGATTTGAAGCTAAAGATCAGCGATCTGAAGCCGAGGATCAGGATGACTTAAGCGTGTGATCTGCGATCTGGCCATGCAATTGGAGAACTCTGACGCATGCGATATGCGATTTGGCCATGCAATCGGAAAATTCTGACACGTGCGATCTGGCCATGCGATTGGAGAATTCTGACTCGTACGATCTGCGATCTGGCCACACAATCAGAGAACTCTGACACGTGCGATCTGGCCACGCGATTGGAGAATTCTAACGTGTGCAATCTGCGATCTGGCCACGCGATTGGAGAATTCTAACGTGTGCGATCTGCGACCTGGCCACGCGATTGGAGAATTATGACGCAGGTTTGAGATCTGAGCATGCCATCAGGGAACTTGGACGCAGGTTTGAGAATCGGACCTGCATGAGCCACCAAACTGTTGACGCTTGATTTTGGACGCCAACGACTCGCACGTGAGAAGCGCTAAGCGGACTTAGGAATCACACGTGATGGATCCATGAGATTTGAATATGGAGCTGAGATTATATATGATGAAGAAAACATAAATAAAAGAATGACAAGAGAGGTTTTTATAGTGGTTCGGATGCTCAACAAGCGACTCCTACATCCACTGTTATTTTATTGATCTCTGACTATTTCTATGATATTGCCCATAACGCATACAAAGATGAAGACATACAGTGTTTACAGAGAGAAAGAATTGAGCTCTTATCTATGGTTAGCTCTCATATGCCCAGCCCCCCTCTTCGGGAAGAGGAGTGCCAATTTATACACCTAAACACTCAATGTAATGAGTGTTTTGCAAGTTGCCTTGACACATGGAAGGCTCTCGTCCATTCATTTCTTGAAAGAAGACAGGGTTGGTAAGAATATCTTTGAGGCAGATATGAGTTTGACAGCTAGTACAAAAAGATATTAAATGAGCTAACATAAGCGTGACTTTTGAGGCATAACAGTATACAAGTACATTTATGTTGAAGAGCTGCTCAAAATGAGCTATGCAACTTTGGAGCTTTTCCAGCACGAGTAATGAAAGAGATAAAGGCATTGGTGGACCGTTGTGTTTCTCATTCTTACTATTAATTGTGTACTGGCTCTGTGCCAGAGCCACAATTAATATCACCGAGCTGAAATGATAAAATTATTTTTTTGGTCACTTTAACAATGAATGTAAAAATGAAGTGAAAGTAAATGTAAGATCATTGTAAATTTGTAATCAGTTTACTCTCAGCAATTATGGATTAAAATATTCAATGAAGATTGGCTTTTTATAAACTTTTTTTTTACAACTTTGATGTGGTAATACGTAATTGAGTGGATATGATTTATAATTAGAAGATAAATAACACCCATTATGAACTGATCAATAACAATTATCATGAAATTTTTTTGGTAAGATTAGATTATGAACCGAAATATTTGGCCTAAGTCCAGTTTTTATTTGATCGTGGAATCAACACTTTTATTTTCACTGTTAATGTAATGATAGTGCCTTGTTGCTTTCAATCTTTTGTCTTTTTAACAGACTAAGAAAAGCTTCTAAATTAACGAAGTCTTCCGTTCTTTCTTTCAATTTTTATTTTCAAATATATCTTGCAAGACAACATTTCAATTATTGATCTCTGATATTTTTCACTCCTAATTAACCATAGAATATGTTAGGGATATTACTGGTATTTTTATACATAATAAGATTATTAAGTGATAGTATATTATAATAAGATTTTTTCCCCTGATATTTTTCAATTATTGTTCACTACTTTTTATCTCCAGTAAACAGTTTGCTCTTCGCAATTATTGGTCATGTAATGCAAGAGCAATAATGCTACGGACACCGGGATTCTACACCGAAATCTTACACTGGTTTAGGTGTCCTGTGACTCACACCAGACACGTTTCACGTTTAAATTTTTTTTTAGTGAACGGTCGTTCATCAACTATGGATGGCCATTCACTTACATGGATGGACGTTCCCATTTAAAGGACGCCCGTTCATCAGTAAATAGAATAATAAATATAAACAAATTTAAGGGACAGCCTTTCATAACTTGGGGACGGTCGTCCCAAAAAATGGATGAGCGTCCACATATAATGGACGTCCATCCAATATTTTAATAATAAAATTTTATTAAACATAATTAATGGACGGGCGTTCATATGGTAATGGATGCCTGTCCATTAACAATGCTTTTAAAAAATAAAAAAAAATTTGGATGCTCGTTCACAAGGAATGGACGGCCGTCCCTAACGTAAAGCATTTTGTCTCTTACTCTACATATATCCTTCTCTTTCACTTCAAGTAGTATTTACTTATCTTCAACATTTTGTTGCAGGAAAAGAAGCTCTCAGAAGGCAACGTGAAGGACTTGTCAAGTGATTTGCAGGTAAGTTAGTGCTTGCTTTTGTGTACCATGTTGTTTAGGGCGCTTTGGACCTGGACTGAATTCCAGGGCACTGCCCAAAGAATGGTTGTGAACCTGGCTTTGTGTGCTTGCTGCAGTTGTCCAGCGCTCAGGTTGATGTATTGTTGCTGCTGAACTATCATGGATGAAAGCTATCGTTCCTGTTAGTTGCTACTACAGGTGGTAACTCTCTCATTACCCATAATACAAATGTCGAGGGTCCTGAAGAACATGGTACACAAAAGCAAGCACTAACTTACCTGTTTTGACCACCGAATTCGACAAGACTTAGCTCCCTATCACCATTTGCCACCCGTGACCTCCCTTTGCCGCTGCAAGTCAGTCACTTCTTCTCCCATTGACTTTTAGCCAATTGTTTTGGTTATCTTTAGGTTTGTTCAGGGGTTTTTTCAAATGGATGTTTAGTGTTTTATTCGTTAGGCAAGTGTTTTGTTTGATTTTAATTCATCAATCATGATTTGTGAGCTTGTAGTTTTTTAATGGTGTTCATGTTGTTTTGAAGAATCTGAAGTCCAGATTTGCTTTTGTGGTAAAGGATGTGAACGTGAGTTTAGTTTTTTTTTTAGTATTTTAATGGTGGGGGTTTTAGAGAGGGGACGCCGACGATTAAGAGGGTGGTGTTAAAGTTGATTTTCGTCTCTGGAATCGCCAAAAATCGACTATGAAGGGGAAGGGGTTTTGATGAAGGAGGTTAGGGGATGTATTTGGTGGTGTTGAGGTGTTCTAACGATGCCAGAATCATGCCAATTTGGCTTGAAAACGGCGAAGTGGAAGAAGAAGGTTGAAGAAGAGATTGGGGTTGTGATAAATTTGAACTTAAAATGATTATTTCTAATTACTAAGTTGAGGGTTAAAAAATAATTTATTAATTTATTTGTCAAGGGCAATATGATAATAACACTCTCTGCACCCTAACATTTGTTGTTGGTTTAAGAGTGATAATATAGAATAAATGAAACCAGAGGTATCAACTTGAGATTTTGCTAAACCTCGGTTGAGAACATGTCGTTTACTCTTTGTTTCGTGCATGGTTTGATTCCCAGTTTTGTTTTTGTTTTGGCAGTAGAGCTATTACTTTCTAGCAAAGAAAGATACCAACCCTTTTGTTAATTATATTTTTCATTCTTATTTATTTTATTTTTTTATAACTGGTGGTTCGGGTTAGCATGTATGTATCTCAATTAATCCCTTTAGACCCTAAAATTATCGATCGGATAAGAGCTAAATAAACTCAAAAGATCCATGTCTTTTTCCCTCAACTCAGAATAAAAAACCTTAAAAAAAAAAACATGATTTAACCTTAAAATAAACTAAATTGAAATGAGTAATACATATACGTAAAACTGATAAAACAGAAAATTGAGTTAAACATTAAATAGTGAAAGCTTCAACAATTTTAGTCTTCAAAAGTTTTAAAAGCGAATAGCATGAGAAAGAAAAAGAGAAAATGAGAGAGTACAAAATTTTAGGGATAAAATCATAAAAAGTAGGTGGAGCTTTGGAGAAGAAAAGTGGAAAAAGTTTTAAATTTTTAATATGATGTGGATTGGAATATAAATATTAATAACAAGTTTTTTTGTGGGTATGTATAATAGTTCTCATTTTCAAAAAAAATTGAGGGTAGGTCTGACTATATATATTAATAGCAAGGTTTTTTTTTTTTTTTTGTTTTTTTGTTTTGGCTTGAATATATATATAATAGTTCTAATTTTCAAAAAATTTGAGGGTAGGCTTGACTATATATATTAATAATAATTTTTTGTGGGGCTATATATTAATAATTTTTTTAAATCTAAGGGTAAGCCTGAGTCTACCCTCAAAGATTCGCTTTCGAGAGAGCATGTTAAATCTTATTTTTGCTATTTTATTTTTAAGGGATCTTAAACTTGAGATATGTTGGAGAAACTGAGAGCAATGAAGAAAAGGAAATGGGGGAAAATACTGTTCTGCATTTCTTATTATGCTTGACTGCTTATAAACTACAGTCATTAACCATACCACTTGCTTGAGTTAACAAATAACTCTAGTTACAATAAAGTCAACTAATCAGCCAACTACCCAACTAACCACAATTTACTTATACAATTAACACCCCCCTCAAGTTGGAGGGTGATAGAGATCAAGAACCCCCAACTTGTGTAACAATTTGGAGTGAAGAGTGCTGCCAAGAGCTTTGGTTAGCAGATCAGCAAGCTGCTCCAAAGAAGGCACATAAGCAGTCTGAATCAAGCCAAGTTTGAGCTGTTCCTGGACAATGTGGTAGTCTATGTCAATATGTTTTGTCCTCTCATGGAACATGGGATTTGAGGTAATGTGATTCATAGCCTGATTGTCACAATGAAGTGGGACTGGAATAAACTTTGGAAACCCCAGTTCTGTAAGTAATTGTACCAACCACATAACCTCACATACAGTAGAAGCCATCGCTCGATACTTAGCTTCAGAAGAGGATTTAGATATAGTTGCTTGTCTCTTAGATTTCCAACAGATCAAAGACTTACCAAGAAATATACAATATCCTGTAACCGATTTCCTGGTCATGAGGCAAAAGCCCCAATCAGAATCACAAAAAGCCGATAGATTCAGATTGTTTTCAGTAGGAAAAAACAACCCCAAACTTGGAGCTGACTTAATATATTTAACTATCTTAAGTGCAACTCCCATATGAGACTCTTTAGGATGATGCATAAACTGACTGAGCAAGTTGACAGAGTAATTTAAATCAGGTCGAGTCATACACAAATACAACAGTTTTCCCATCAATCTCTGATAAACACATGGGTCAGAAAGAAGAGGATCATTTGTAGTGGGAAATAAGGCATCATATGCAGTAGAGGTGAGCTTCAAATTTGATTCCATAGGGACTGAAGAAGGCTTAGAACCAGATAAACCAGATTCTGAAATGAGCTCTAATGCATATTTCCTTTGGCATAAACTGATTCCCTTGACAGATCTAGCAACCTCAAAACCCAAAAAATATCTCCACATCCCCAAATCCTTCAATCGAAAATTAGAATGCAAAATTTTCTTGGTTTGATTAATCATATCAACATTGTTTCTAGTAAGTTATATATCATCAACATATATTAAGAGTATGACAATACAAGAATTTGCCCTCTTAATGAATAAAGAATAATCTGCCTTAGATTGATTGAACCCTCCAGCAAAAAGAACTTGTGTAAGCTTAAAGTTCCAAGCTCTAGAAGTCTGCTTCAATCTATAGAGGGATTTGTGAAGCCTACAAACAATGTGTTGCCCCCCTGCTGAGCAAATCCTTGAGGCAACAACATGTAAATTTCCTCTTGTAAATCCCCTTGGAGAAAGACATTGTCAATATCTAGTTGATAAAGGGTCAATCATGCAAGGAAGCCAATGATAAAATGGTCCTAACAGTAACCATTTTTACAACCAGGGAAAAAGTCTTAGCATAATCTATACCAACCTACTGAGTATATCCATTAGCAACCAACCGAGCCTTATAACTTTCCAAAGAACCATCAGCCTTGTATTTGAGTTTGTATATCCACTTGCAACCTATAGGAACTTTTCCAGGAGGGAGAGAGACTACGGACTAGGTATTATTGAGCTCCAAGGCCTTAATTTCTTGCTGCATAACAGCCACCCAATTTGGATCCCTAGAAGCCTGAGAAAAGCTAGTAGGTTCTACTAATGATTGTTGGGACAAATAGGCTTTGTAAGTAGGTAAAATATGTGTATATGTAACAAAGTTGGAAATGGGATAAGGAAAATGGGAAATATGGTTGGCTGAAGGATTGGAAAGAGAGGGGCAAATAAAGTCTGAGGTCCAAATGGGAGGTTTGGAAACTCTGATGGATCTCCTAACAGGTTGAGGTGAAGAGTGTATATCAGAAACATGAGAAGTGGGAGAAGGTTCTGTGATCTGGACAACATTAGTATGGGAAGGAATTACAGAAGATGAAACCGACTCTAAGTCAAGGAAAGAAGTGTCAATTGGAAAAGGAAGCTGTGATGTTTGAGATCAGGTAAAGGGGAATACAGATTCATAGAAAAGAACATCCCGAGAGACAGTAACAGTATGTAAAGACAGATTGTAAAGCAAATAACCCTTTTGGGTTAGAGAATAACACAAGAAAACACAAGGAACAAACCTTGGGGACAGTTTATCCTTAGAAGTGAGGACAGTAGCATAAGCCAGACAGCCAAATACTTTTAGATGATCCAAAATAGGAGGTTTTCCAAAATTTTTTGCAAATGGTGATAAACCGTGAAGGACAAATGTAGGAAAACGATTGATAAGGTACACTGTTGTTTGTACACAGTATCCCTATAGATGAGTTGGAACATTTGACTGGAATTTTAAGGCCCTAGCTACTTGCAGGATTTGCCTATGTTTCCTCTCAACAACTTCATTTTGTTGAGGGGAATAGGCACAAGAACTTTGGTGTATAATGCCTTTGCTAGTGAATAAAGCATGACAATCCTTATTAAAAAACTCAAGGCCATTATCAGTCCTAACACATTTAGGGCTTAAATGGTATTGAGTTTGTACCATTTGAAGGAAATGTTGGATGGTGACAAAAGAATCAGATTTGAATTGCATTAAGAAAAGTCAAGTAACTCTAGAGTAATCATCTACAATAGTGAGGAAATACCTAGCATTACCATGAGTTGGCGTCCTATATGGACCCCAAACATCCATATGCAATAGATAAAAAACAACACTGGATTTGGAATTGCTATGAAGAAAAGGAGTCCTGGTTTGTTCAGCGAAAGGGCAAATAGCACATGGTGGAGGATTAGACATATTAAGCTTATGGTGCATAGTTTGCAAAACTGAATAAGGAGCATGTCCTAAACGTTGATGCCACAACTCAAGACTAACAAATAAATTTGCAGTCATAAATGAAGCAGGAGAAATCAAAGTTTTATTCAACTGAACATCAAAAGGTACATTATTGTTTGAAGGTAAAACAATAGATGCATTACAAACATTTTTATTTAATAGATCTATATTTGATAATAGGGATGAAATTTTCGTGTTTGGATCAAAAAAATATAGGCCATGGCTATGTCTACCAATCCCCTTCAACTTGCCATTGCAAAGATCCTGAATGAGACAAAAATTAGGATAGAAAACAATAAAGTAATTGTTAGAAGCAGTGAATTTAGAAACAAAAAACAGGTTGTGTTTAAAATCTGGTACATGAAGAACTTTAGAAAGGTGAATTCCATTATCCAGATCAATAGAGCCAACATGCCTAATATGGGTTCTAGTGCCATTTGGTAAACCTACAAGGGATTTGGATGAAGGTTCTACGGGGAATAAGGGAATTTAAAAGTGCATAATTCGAGGTCATGTGATTTGTAGCTCTTGTATCTATGATCCATCAATTATCATCCAAACAAGATAATAAGGCAGTAGATATACCTGTAAGATTAGCGACTAGAGAAGCAATGTTTTCTTTTCCCAGCAACTGAAGGATCTGATTGTATTGCTCCGAAGTCAAGACTGGTCCAACCGTCGTATTAACATTGTTGAAATCTGAAACTTCAGAAGTTGAATTCTGAGTCTGCACCTGATTAGTTGAAAACTTTGGTTTTGAGCTTGTTTTGCCTCTTGTAAACTGGAAATCCGCAGGGTAATCAATCAGTTTATAACAAGAGTGTCTCTTATGCCCAGGCAAGTGACAATAGTCACATTCAATGTATGGCTTCTTGCCTTTGTACCTTTGTCCCTGATTCTGATTCTGACTTTTATTATTGTTATTTTGAGCATAAAGGGTTGTGGTCACCTCTGAGTTAACATTCATTCCAGTCAAAACCCTTTGGCTTTCATCCTGATTCACTATTGAATATGCTTGTTTTACGGTTGGCAGAGGATTTATTAGCAAAATCTGACTACGTACCATCGAATATGACTCATTTAATCCCATCAAGAATTGCAATAATTTTTGTTGATTGAGATGTTCAAGATACGCTTTTGCAGAGATGCTATCAGAAGTAGGTAGGCTGACCAAGGAATCTAGCTTATCCCAAAGTGATTTGAGCTTATTGTAGTAGATCGCCACTGTGTTTGTTCCTTGTGTCAGATTCACAATTTCGCGATGAATGCCAAAAAATCTGGTGCCGTTAACCTTGTGGTACTGTTCTTTCAAATCTTGCCATACTTAGGAAGCAATTGTCGATTAAACAATGCCGTTGAAGATTTCTTTAGAAACCGAATTGAAGATCCAGACAAGGACTAAAGAATTGCATCTCTCCCATTGTGAAACCAAGCGTGAGTGCACTGAAGACTTTGTACAGGTTCCATCAACAAAGCCTAGGTTATTCTTTGCGCATAAAGAAACCGTCATTGCTCTACTCCAGATTCCATAGTTTTCAGTGCCTCTGATACCATGTTGGAGAAATGAGAGCAATGAAGAAAAGGAAATTGGGGAAAATACTGTTATGCATTTTTTATTAGCTTGATTGCTTATAAACTCCCGTCATTAAGCATACAACTTGCTTGAGTTAACAAATAACTCTAGTTACAATAAAGTCAACTAATCAGTTAACTACCCAACTAACCACGATTAACTTATGCAATTAACAAGATATTATGTTAAATACTTTACCATTACTCAACCAGTCGTGGTTATTTTTCATTCCTATTACTGACCAAGTGATCAGGTCTTATTAATCAAGCCCTCACTGTTGTTTTCATTCAGACTCTCAATTAATCAAGAAAAACCTAGCTATTGTTTCATCGTCCTCCTCGTTGTTCTCGTTCATACTGTTTTCCATCACTAATCTCTTCAATTCCTCCCCTTTCCACTTCTATTAAGCCCTCTTGCTCTTCTACTGCTTTTTCACTTTTCTTCTTTCTCATACGTTCAGAAACTGCTACTTAAGATCTTTTTATTGCTAAAAGATAATTTTACCCAGAAACCATATCGTTTGACTTTTCACTCTTCTCTCACTGCCTAAATTTTTGTTTGATTAAAGGGGGGAAATAAAAAAGCACTTCTCCCGTTGCCTTATTTCTTATTTCTTGTTTTTGTTTTTGTTTTTAAATCCTCTTTCCACTTTGTTCATTCCTCGTTTACATAGAAACATTAAAAAAAAAAAATAAATAAATTCGTCCATTGTTTAATTTCTCGTTTTTATTTTTCAAATCTTCTTGAATTCCGCTATATATTGTTTTTTCTTTTAAAAAAAAAATTCTTCATATTTTCAGCATTCGTCCTTACTGTTGTTTGATTTTGCTATCTATTTGTTCTGTTTGGATTTTTCTCTCTACTTGTTCTCTTTTGATTTTGCTCTCTGCTTGTCCTGTTATTTTCGTTTTCTTTTCTTTTCTATTCTTCAAACTTCACAAAGAAGGGGAGGAAAAAGGAAAAAGGAAAAAGGATTGAAAATGGTGGAACCTGCTGGGAGTGTCGGGAGTGTGGTGAGTCCTGTTCTTGAAGTTGGCAAGTGGTTGGCTGCTCCGCTTGGGCGTCAATTTATGTACTTGTACAACTACAAAAGCAACTTTAAAGATCTCGAAAAAGACGTTGAGAAACTCAAGGAAGCAAAAGAGGAGGTGAAGGATAAGGTTGTTGCGGCTGAGAAAAACGTGGAGAAGATAAAAAAAGATGTTATGCAATGGCAGAAGGATGCGAATTCCATCATTCATGAAGCCGAGCAGTTGGTTGCAGAGAAAGCAAACGACAGATGTTTCAAGGGATTCTGTCCGAACTTGATCACCTGCTACAAACATGGTAAGAAAGCATTCAAACTAAAGGAGGAATCTATTTCTCCTCTCTTGCAGCAAAAAGAAAACTTCAATAACGTTTCCTACCCCACTATTCTAGAGGAAATGTGGCTTAAACCTGACAAAAATTACGATGCTTTTGAATCAAGATATTCCACTTTGAATGATATACTGATGGCGTTAAATGATGCTAATATGAACCTGATTGGGGTTCATGGGATGGGTGGCATCGGAAAGACGACGCTAGTGAAAGCAATTGGTAGGCATGCCAAGAAAGACAATATCTTTGATGTGGTGGTTTTCGTAGAGGTAAATCAGACTCCAGACA